TACACAGCTGTTTCTGTTTCAGTTAATGACTGTGTTTCAACCTACATATGAAATTGATTATTTCTTTATTTATTGGATTTCATTAGCACCTACTTGGTATAATTGGTTAATCATACACTTGACTCTAATCCTACAAGATCCCTAACTTTGTGCAAGTGTACAAAGTGTGCAAGTGTAAGAATTGATGCTGGTTTGAAGACAAGATCCCTAACTTTGTGCAAGTGTACAAAGTGTGCAAGTGTAAGAATTGATGCTGGTTTGAAGACAAGATCCCTAACTTTGTGCAAGTGTACAAAGTGTGCAAGTGTAAGAATTGATGCTGGTTTGAAGCCAAAGGGTAGTCACACCAAATATTGATTTGATTTAGATTTTTCTTCTGTTCACTCACTTTGCATTTTGTAAATTGATAAACATAAACAATTACAATATATATTTTTGAAAGCATTCTTACTTTACAGCATTTTTTCACACCTGCCTAAACATTTTGCACAGTACTGTATGTGCAAGGACAGGTTGTAAGTCCCTTTGTTCAGTACCCTTGTAACATTCACTAAACCAATGGTTGTTAAGTGAGGACTACCTGTACACCATAATGTCAGCAGTGTACCTTTTACAGTTTGTTTACATTGAACAAATTGGCAAATATTTGCAAAATGTAGATGAATGCAAACCTGGCTTGAAAAATGATACCTTTCAAAAACCACTGGGTAAACATTTCTGCTTTCCAGAACATTATTTCATGGATCTCAAAGTACCTATCCTTGAAAAATAAATTACAGTGACCAATTCTGTTGCAAAATGTAACATTTATTACAGACCAATGTGTGCTAATTAGCTATTCAGTGCAACAATATTTGTTCCTACCTGCTACTTAGTTTCTATTTACTACATAAGGTAATTCTGTCTTCCACTTCTTGTTTCATCTTTCTCCTCTTCCTCCACCCCCAGCAACAGTAGTGTATATATATATATAATGTTACTCTTAAAAAAATAAATTGATTATGGGCTTCAATATACTGGTAGTCCTTTAGGTGTCACAAAACTGTTTGTGCAAAGATAGAAGGGAGTTTTAACACAAATAAGTTTTATAGGAGAATGGAACTGTTTTGAGTACTTTGCCAAAAATGCAAAGATATCTAAATATTATTTCAAGTCAAATGCTGAAGTGAAAGGGTAAACAAGGAAAAAACCTAAAAACTATTATAATGTAACGTACAGTATGTTGCTCAGATATATTTATTCCAAACATCCATTGAAACAGGTAAAAGAAACACATATTGGCGGATTCAATAACCACTTTTCATTACCTAACATTTTAACATCTGGTACGTTGCAGAAATAGATGGCATTGGCCAGACAATATTTTTGCTCTCTTGTTGCATGACATGCCAAAAGTTATTTGTTTAGTGTAACCATCAGTGAAAAAGTTACTTTAAATATAGGTGGAGAGGAGGATGTACTCCAAAACTGCTGCATATAGTTTGGGATGTCTGGAAACTGAGAAATTAAAACAATTTGCTTTGAAGAACAGTCTCCCTGAAAGGTCTGGGCTTCTTCCATTGCTTTCCTTGCAGTTATATACTGGGTTGTTCTAAACTAAGGTGGGTGCTGAAATAGCCACTTTGCCTAATTCCTCTATAAAGAGAGAACTATTTTTCCTTTCATTAATACATCTGTTCCCAATGTGTTCCACTGTCATGTTTTCTCTACTGAACCAATGAAGTACCTTAACTGAAAAACCTTCAGATGAATGCAAATGTACAGAACTTCACTAGCCAAACACCACCAAACAGGTCGTGTTGCATTAAATATCATGCTTTATTATTTGGCCACATTTTCTCTGGTATGTTAAATCTTTCCCCTCAAAAAGGTGCTGGCTTCTTTACTCACTAAGAGCAGGTTTAATCTGAATTCCTATATTTACTTTCTGTATGCTTTTCTTCTTGCTCATTTGTGTTTTATACTTACCTACTGTGTGTTATCTTTAGATGGCTCCTTGGGATTTTGAGGGTTATGGCATTTTTGTATTGTGTTTTGAGAGTTATGCTTTTCTGTGCAAAGGCCACAAAGTAGGCTTTATAGAATAAGCATGTGGCTGACAATGGGCACCTGAAGGCAGAAATGGGCAGTAGCTTGGGATCTCCTAGTTTTTATCTTGTATACTATTATCCTAATAGTATAACTTGTTCCAAACAAATTAGACTGCTGAGGTGTAGAAACCATAGAGGTAAACCAGAGTGGACTTCTGTGTGGAAACTTCTGGCACTCATACGCTTAGCTCAAAACATGCTGAGGGATATTTGGTTCTTTAGAGTAATCAGTACATCTGGAGAATGCCCAATAGATGCCACCTTGAAACCTAAGAAAATTGATGCTAAGCGATCCTTATTAGCATGCATGAAATCAAAAAGAAAAATATTAAGTCTGTGCAGCATTGCAGGATAAATTCCAAAAAGGTGCTTTGGGATGTACAAGTGCATGCATATAATACTTGTTGGCAACTTTTTAAAGCAGCCATATCTTTATCTGGGGTGTTGTGGCTATCTAGGGAAAAGGCACAGCTGCTTTAAGGAGTTGCAGACAGCTTTTACGTTTGCACCAGCACATATTCCAAAGCATTTTTAAAAAATTGAATCCAAAATGTTGCATAGCATTAAAACAATGGAAAAGAGTTGCTCTTAATGGTAGCCACAATTACACTACTTTTCTTAGTACTGGCAGTACCACTGTTGATATAGATTGTCTTAGTTGCTATGACCCAATCCACAGGACTGTCTGTGACTGTCAAGAGTCAGAGGGCATAAATATATCAGCTAAACTGGGTATTAATTTTGCTGACTTAAGGCATCTACTCACCTCTTGCGTAATTCCTGTATATGTGATATGCAGAGACAATGTTTGCCAGTATATAAAACCTTAATATGCTTATTTTGCTATCTCTTTTTCACCATGTAGTGGCAGCCTTTTCTTCTGACAGATGTCTGATTTCTTGTCCTACCATACAGGAGAATAATTAGTTACAAATTAAGTAACTATCTGAAGAAAAATGTGATTTTTTTCTCATTCTTTTCTGACAGCGTATGTTTGTTTACCAGGTGTTCACATTCAGCTGGCGAGAAGACATCCGTCCAGGAGACCCTCAGCACACAAAGAAATATTGTTTTGATGCTATTTCCCATAATAGCCCAGTGACTCTCTACGACTGTCATGGAATGAAAGGAAATCAGCTATGGAAATACCGGAAAGTGAGTACATATAGTTGTATCAAACTGTGTGGTCATCTTGTAACATTTTGAATGATACCTTATTTTTTGCTCAGATAGTAGAGAGAAAAGGCATCAACAAAAGGAGCTTATTCCAAATAAGGTCTGTTGGATAATATATTGACTTTGGATATGGAAAAAGACTTATTTATGCAGAACTTGTTTAAGAAGCTGATTAAAACAAAAACAGTGCATATAGTGAGGACTAATTTTAACTTTCATCCTCAGGACAAGACACTTTATCACCCAGTAAGTGGCAGCTGCATGGACTGTAATGAAAATGATCGAAAAATCTTCATGAACATGTGCAATCCCTCATCTCCAACACAACAATGGATATTTGAACATACAAATTCAACAGTCTTGGAAACCTTTAATAGGAATCTTGATCTTTAAAGACATTATTTATATGTATATATTACAGTCATAATTTTTACAGGGGATATGACAATTTTTTAAAAAATAATTTTTCTAAAAAAATGAAAAAGGGAGAATCTCAGGAGAGAGAGTGACTATCAGGCCAGTCTTTACTTTGATGATGCTGCATCTGTATTTTGGGATAATTCCCAGTAGCAAGAAATCTGCAGTTATAATCATGCCACACATAGATTTGGAAACAGTGTCAACCTGTGAAGTGTCATGAGAGGGATAGAGGTAACTTCATGCATTCAAAATGAATCCTTGAGGAAGTGTCTTTTATCCAAGTTTTAATTATCCAGTTTCTTAAATTTTCTTTTCCTTTTCAGTTCTTAGTTAAGAAGCTGCAAGTATGAAACATGGTTGAAAATTTCTAAATAACTGAAATAACATTATGAAATGTGTGGATTACAACAAAATGTCAATTAAGACAAGAATCCATTTATTGGTGTTACTTTTGCATGATACCACAACTTATAGTAGTAACAGCAGTAAATACATGACCAACTGCCATTTTGGCTAGATGTTTGGTTTTTCATGATAGACCTGATTAATTAACACTTACATAATGGTCAGTGTATGTTCACATAATGTTCACAAATATGAATGCCAGGTATCTGTCATAACAGGCATTAGGCAAGCCATATGTGACAAGTTTAAGATTAAAGTCAGATTTTAAGTAGGGATTTCCTAATGTATACTCATAGTCAGTATATAATACTGGCACTTACATCTAATATGGCAATACTGTCAATAATCCACTGGAAACTGACATAGAAGCCAAATGTGAAAAGGATAGTGAAAATTCAAGGCTTCTTCTCTGCAGCAATATAATACTTGTCATTTTTTTTCCCAAATAAACTGACTAGTATTTCTTGATTTCTCATATTAATGATTCTTTAGAATCCTTGAAAGTATTGTTATAGTAGGCAATTGACTAGTTGGGAAATGAACATTCATTTTACCATGTTTGTATATAATTAGTCCACATTCATGTTTATTTATAATCATAAGAACATGTTCTATAAACTTTCCAGACTGCATGTATGTCAATACTCCCTCTGAAAATTTATCAACTAATTACATTAAAAATAAAAATTTAGCTTCCCAAGTTTACTAGGACATGCTACAAAGATTATTAATAGTCACACTACTTGACCTCAAGTTCCAAGCATATTTTTAATGCTGATCAGATCTGTTGGTGCTAAGTCTCTAGAGAACAATAGTTGGTACTGTGACCTTGCATATAAATTATCAATATTTTCTAATCTGATTGAATTCATAGATTTGTATTTATTCATTTATTAGACTTAAATCCTACTCAAAAAAACATTCCAGGCAGTTAACAATTTACATAAACGTTACATTTAAAATGTAAAACATAATTATAATTGCATTTTGAGAACAATAGCACATATACCTAATTTAGCAGTCAAAATATACTAAAGGTCAGCCTAAATAACAGTATTTTTACCTGCTGGTGGAAGGATGACTATTTAGGACAGGAAACTCCAAACTCGGGTAGCAGACATCAACAAGGCCTTTTCTTGAGATTCACCAAACATCTCTCTATTGGTGATGAAGCGGAGGAAGAGATTTGTACAAAAGGTCTTAAAACTGAGGAAGATTCAGAAGAATAGTCCTTCAGATAGCCTCAGTCCAAGTCATATAGGGCTTTCTAGATAATAACACACATTACTTTTGAGCCTGGAGACAGCTTGGGAAGTCATAAAATTGTTATAATTTTGCTGTTTTAAATGCTATTCCATAAGGCAATCTAAATGATTGTAAATCATAGCAACTAAGTGGCTCTTCTGAAGAGCCACCTAGTTGCAATGATTCAAGTATATCCTCAACTCACCATTTTAACTGTTTACATTTTATGAAGTGAAATATTGTGGCTAGTAGTGATGCTATGTGAATTTTTGGAAGCCATCTAAAGACCTTAATTGCAAGGAACTATTCGTTTTAGAAAACTCTTGCACACGCTTGCCCCCATAGAGTGTCAGTAAAATCAAACTTAACAGCATCATTAAAATAAAGAAGTGCCTTTTAAAATGCAAATGTACAGCAAAAGCTTAAACTTGAACAATTTCCTAGTGCCTTGCTGGACAAGAGTAGAATGGGTATGAAATGTACAAGACTTATGTACTGTGTGCAATTAGTGATATTTTGAGGGTGTGATTTTGTTTTAAGTTCACATTGGAGGATGGAAAGATGGTGGATGATTTAGAAAACCTGAATATCTCTGGGTTCCTACATTTCACTTCATTTACAAGTGCAAGTATTGTGCGATAATAATCTTGACAGAATTTCCTGACTGGCTATTAGTCCTAAATAGTGGCACACAAATATGAAAGTGAATAACCCCTATATATAGTGGTTTCTCCAGTGAATTTCCAATGAACAATATTAGGCATACTTCCCAACATCTAGTCAGGGCTGTAATAAAAAAAATCCACCTGTTTACACCTTCGTAAATGCTTGAATACCTTTTCAGAGTGGCATTTGTTTCAATCAACTGAACAACTTGAAGGTTCAAGACCTGAAAGCCTCTGTACTAATAGGTATGAATAATTCAACAAAATCTGTCAAGAGGTTGCTATTTGTTGCTACTGTCAGGCCATTTTCTGACCATATCACTCTGTAGGTAAAAATAGCAATGAAGTAGAGGATCAGTTTCTTTTTACCATGCAAACAGTAAATTCACTGATTTGATTAAGTTTCTATTTTGATCTTCATTTTTCTTATAGATCTGCAATACAAAAATATTCACAACTGAAAAGAACAAATGATTTATAGAACCATTCACAGAGTGCTGACATTGATATAAAAATTGCTGGTTAGACAGAATTTAAACTAGCATAAAGAGAGTAATTACTCCTTTAATATTTAACAAAATCAAAAATTGTTGGCTGAAGAGCTGCATACAGTTTCTGTGTCTTGGATTACTTTTAGTGCAGCCTGATACTGTGCCTATTTTACTCAAACCTAAGTCCCATGAATTATTACTGCATATAAAATTATGCCACTAATTGTTCAGAAATCTAGGCATCCTATTTCTAAATGTTCTTAACACACTCTAAGTATGTAGACTTTTTCCAGAAATTGTACTATCTTGGTGAACTATCACAGTGAATTAGATTTTAAGTCAAATATTGCTAGTATCATTTTTTAAACACTCTGAATTCATAATTGATTTGTAGAGAACTACGAATCAGGTGTGATCTTAACAGAACCAGGCAGGTCTTCCCAAATCACACATCAAGAAAGGGATCTGTTTTATCTTCCTACAGTGACTTTTTACAGGTACGTTTCTCCCAGCCAGGTTCAGTCTCAGCTGGACCCTGACACAGGAAGTGGAGCTTCCAAGGAGGTGTATTATAGGCAGGATAAAAGATAAGCTGACTTTGTTTTGTTTTTTGAACAGAATGCCCCTTTTGCTCTTAAATTAAACGTACAGTACATAAATGCTTTAAGTGAAGAGACACTATTGTTGTAGTCACATTATGTTTGCTTTTGGATGGTTAAAAACAAGTTTTAACACAAACATTTTATTTATTGTCAACTTAAATATTGTTTTTAGAGCAAGATAACAATTTTATTAAAAATGGCCCAACCTGAGGTCTACTTATAATGGGCTTTTTGAACTACATTCGGTTCTAAGCTCTCCAACAGATTTGTGATCAACTAGAGATACCGTCATGTTCTAGCAGATGAAATGCTTTAATTTGAACCAGTTTAGAAGCATACAAGCATATCACGTTGTGGTAGGTAGAATTTATCACACATAAAATTATATGCACTAAGTCCATGACATTGCATTATGCGTAACCAAAGTAAGTATAACATTAGCTCTTCCAACAATACTATTAAGCAGCTAAAGATTTAAGGGGAGAGAAGCAGGAAAAATGCAGCTCATATTTAGGAAGTCTTCAGGGATTCTTAAACTGTTTCCCTATTTGTAATGCATGCTTAATAGTTTCTTTGAAATTGGATGTTGCCACAAACTGTGTATTTATTTTGTGCATCTTGGGACAATGTCCTATTGTGTTGGGAGAGATCAAGGATGTCTAGCACTTTAATGTAGTATTGCTGATTAACTGGAAATCATTTGGATGTCAAGTGTAGTGTTTTTAAAAATTGAATGGACTTTCTTTTATAATATATTTAAAATAAATTTTTATTGTGTCCTTTTTCTGAAAACCTGTATAAGTATTCTGTTTTATTACAGCCAAAGCATTTGTAAATAATAGACTGATTACTTGAAATAATACAGGTAGTCCTCACTTAACGACCACTCGTTCAGTGACCATTTGAACTTACAATGGTGCTGAATGAGTAATAGTTATGACTGCTGCAGCACCCCCATGGTCACATAATCACAATCCAGGCACTCAGCAATCAACCCGGATTGATGACTGTTGCAGTATCCCCGTGTCACATGATTGCAATTTCCATCCTTCCCTGCCGGCTTCCTGCAAGCAAAGTCAATGGAGAAGCCAGCAAGAAGTCAGAAGTCATGATCATGTGAGTTCCTCAGTTAACAACCCGCAGTGATTCACTTAACAACAGCAACTGGGACTGCTGGGATTGCCGTCACTAAGCGATGTCGTCATGTGATGTCGCACTTTACAGCTGCATTGCTTAGCAACAGAAATTCCAGTCCTAATTGCCATCATTAAGCGAGGACCACCTGTAAATCAAATATTGTAGATCAGCCAAAAGTGCAATTGGATCATATTGCCTTGTCATCTTGTCTTCCTTACCCTGTAACAGCTACTGACCATCACCTTTATTTAACAGTTTTGTAAGAAATAGTTGTTCAAATGCTTATTGTTTTTGTGAACATTTTTATAGAAAATCTTGAACGTGAAAAGCTATTTGCTCATAATCATACCTCTTTACTTTACTAGGCAATCATGATAAATGCTTACTATTGGAAATAACAATTTATCAAATCTTACCTTTCTTTTTTTAAAAACAAAGCAGCTATTTTCAGTAGAATGTTGGGCTGAAAGATCATATTAGTTTTTGTAAATTTAAAAAACTGTCTTGACCGTTCCTCCCTAATTCCTTTCAAGCTCCTTCTCTTAATATAGGACTCAAAATGTTTGCATACATTTCAGCAGATCTTCTTTATTGCTCAGATACAATTAATTAAAATTTAAATACTCCCTCATACTTACTTGCTTACAGCTGATATGTTTGTTTTGTGTGGCTGCAAGAAAACATGTATGGTTGATGAGAAAGCCAATGTGTTGGTAAGCATGCTAGGATAGGATTGGCGTGATTTAGATTTACCCTCTAAGCCATGAACCATACTGTGTAACCATCAGCCAAAAATGTTTTAAACTTTCTATTATGTTACTGAGTTCTAATGCATTCCCTTAGCTATCTCAGAAAAGTTGAGTTATAAAGTACTGAAACTGAAGGGGCAGGGAGCTGTTATGAGAGCAATAAATGCTTAAAAATGAAGAATGGCATGGGATTACTCTATTTATCTCCCATTACTTTTAAGGCCTAGTAGGCAATTATATTTTGGACATTTGAGTTAAAAGACTTCAAAATAAGGGAATTATAGAAGTGCCAATTTCACAATTTGAAAATGCTCCTAGATCTTTAAACACTGCAGGAAACTAATGTTACTAGAAATGAGTACAGAATCTCATGTGAAATAATCTGTTTGGTGACAGTTTCTTTCTATGAACTCACCAATATAAGCATAGACTTAAATTTGAATGTGACTGACCAGTAGATAAAAAACAATGAGAAAAGGGTGTCTAGATTTTGCAGTGGAAAAAAGTTAACTCTGGAGTGGAAGGAGAAGAGAGGAGGAAGACAATGGGATGTATTCACATGAAATGCTTGCAGGTTAAATTAACCATGGTTTATGGAATTAACCCAATTTTATGTACTGCATGGACTTGTTTCATGCAACATACTGGCTAAAATGCAATTGGCTAATTTGCGGGTCTTGTATGAACTAAACACAGCTTCATATATAATGCATTACAGTAGGTGTAATTAAAACATGGCTAGTGGTGATAAGGTCATTCCTAGCTTCTAGACATTTTAGAATTCTACAATAACTGTATTGATTCTGCAACTGATAAAAAATCATACAGTTATCTCCTGCTTCTAATAATGCTTTGAACTGGTAATATCTATCCTAAAGATCCATGACTAGCAGTACAATTGACTGATGTCATTGTTCTCTAGCCTATAAGCTTTAGAATTTAAAGATAAAAGAGGCAACCTCTACAAGCTGGAAGCCTACAGTAGTTGCCAGAGTGGTTGCAGGTAGGAGGTCATACCGGCATGTTCAAAGAAGACATCTATCTCTGCAGAAGAATTACTGTGAGAACAAAAACACCCCACCCCCACTCATTTTAATTCCACCAGACAGAAGATGGAAGTTGCTCAATAATTGCTGGCTTCCTGCAATTTAGAGGTGGATCACTGGTAGAAAGATGAAGCAGTTGGGGGGGAGGGGTTGAGTTACTTTCTTATCCCAGCAATCCCACTGAAGATAACTAGTTTCCCATTACTGTTTATGGCAGAGAACCCATGAATCATTTCCTGGTAGTCAGGAAAGTAAGCAGGATTTTTTTTTTTTTTTTTTTGCAAACTGTGATCCAAAGAACTAACACATATTGTTCCTCCTATGAATAATTCTTCTAAATTAAAAGTCCTAATAAATACCTTACATGGATTCACTTCCCTCTCTCTATACAGAGAAAGATAAAGGGGAAGTGATATTAACCAGACGGTTAAGGCTCTTTTTCTTGTTTCTATTGCTTTATTTTTTTAAAGGCTGTGCTAGAGGCAATAATTCTGAAAAAAATGCATTTTCTTTCTCTCAAAAGACCAGGCTTTTAAAAAGGGTAAGAACAGTATAAAGAAAAGTTATATGCAATATCTAGTGCTGGTGTGAGTTTATTTTAAGATTTTGTATCAAGAAAGATCACTTTTTGCTGTAGTGTAAACTTGCTGTGCTTGGGCCATTTGAGCTTTTCTTTATATTATTAAAGGATCTTAAACAGAATTAGGCCCTTACATATCATCCTTAATGAAAACTATATTAAAACAAAGATGGAAAAGAAGAAATTGTTCAACTGCCAAGTAACCCACCCTTAACAACAGGTTTTTTTTCAGTATAATCATCTAAATTATTAATCTGCATTTTTTCGTACAACAGGACAGCCTTGCTTTTGGTGAAGACCCTTGTGAAAGTAGCTATCTCTAGATACTGTTAACATGGCAATATTTGTTTAAATGAGCTATTCAGACTGTTTTGCTTCAAATGTCACATCATTCTTAAAGTGGTTAATTTAGACATATTCCTTATGGATGCATGAAAAATAATTATGTTGGCTTGTGGTTTTATGTTTCACATCATAAACTGTAATACAGCACTTCCAAGCCTGTTATGGCAATAAATGCATCCTTAGGTAGTAATCTAGCAGTTATCTTGTATAGTTTAGGGGCTCCTAACATATATTCCTATCATGAAATACTGGAACAAGCAAGTGCAATTTGAATCCGAAGCTGAAAAGATGCTTTGAGCTAAGCATGGGCGCACATGCTGTGACTGTCTCCTTAAAGAAGCAGTGTCACGTTGGGGGTAGGGGGATTGCTTGTTAGCCACACACTCCCTGGAAAATACACGCTTGAGTTAAGATCACACTGACATGACAAGATGCTCTGAGATAGACATGAGCATGCACACCCTGAAAGCACCTTTTTGGCGCTTCACATCCCTGCACATGCACATCATGTGCACAAGCACTGCACATCCCTGGTTGGAAAGGACAGGTATCTGCTATGACTGTTTTGCAACACAAAATCACTCATCTCTGTCACAGTAATGCAAGTCCAAATAATGTATACTGTTCTTCCTGGTCCAGTTTTACAGGATCAGGACAGTAATGCGGGGGGGGGGGCATATATGGGGCCAGGAAAGGTGTAGAGTTTTGACATGGATGATCCAGCTATCTTGCTTTGTTGTATTTGACAAAGTAGGAAGCCCACCTCCTAAACCTATTCAAAAACTCCAAGTCCATCGGATATCTGGGAGAGTTGTAGGCTTTTGAACAGCTTTATGCAGCTTTTTTTGCTGGAAGGAAAAGAATAGAATGATGACAGAAGGCCGTGTTCAGGGACCCAAAGGGAGAGGGAATGTCACACCAGCTTGAAATGGCCAAGGAATGCTAAGCTGTTCCATCAGATTTTACACATTTTGAAAGTATCTGGGCTGCTGTTAGCATAAGAGGACAAACAGGTGGAACAGCTTCATCTTTCATACATGTGCTGAAAGATGAAGGCAACATCATGTGGAATGCCAGAACAAAGAGGTGGCCAAGGCACACATGTGCCAGGATTGTGGGTAATACATGGAGAGCTTTTCCAGATGAACAGCTGCTAGCATTGCTTAAAGGAAACTCTGCTGCTTATTTTTCTTCCTTAATAGACCTTTTTCAGCAGAAAGAAAAATGGAATATATCAGAAGGTCACAAATAAAAAAAAAGAAATGTCTAGATCTGTAGAATTCCCATAAAGTTTCAAATGAAAGCATTCTAAGAATGTAAAGAATGTCAAGTTTCTCCTGACTACTCAGAAGCTAAAGCAAAGTGCATATTCGTTCATCTGCATACCTCCGGGGGGGGGGGGGCTTTTTTTCCAGTACTCCGATGTTCTACTAACTGCTCATTTACAGGTATTGTGTACTATGGAGAGTGGCCTTGGAGCCAGCTGAGCAACTCTATTAGAGCTCAGCATGTGGCAGCCAGACCATATGCACTGCTGACAGAAACATATTCACTAAAATTGCCCAAGCTCCGCTGGATTCTGTTTTGGACTAAATTCCAATAATTAGCTATTCAACCTAGGACCAGCATAGTTAACCCCTATATACCTCCGCAGTCATGAGCTCTAGACACATCGACAGTAGACTAATCCAGCTTGTGCAATGGGAGCCCACAAGCCTATACCTCTAAAAATACTCAGGCTCGATAAATAGTAAGGTAAAATTTCCAGAGATCCGCCGCTTCCCAACTTGCTTCGCACAAGAATTCGTACCATTGGAACTTAGCCTCAAAGACCAATGCAAGCTGGGACCGGACATCCGCTGGCTTCTGCTCTGGAGTCCCTCTGGGGCACACGAACCGCCCGACCTCCACTTCACCCTCGTTCTCTGGCGCGTCCGTGCCGCCGCGCACCTTCCTCCTACCCTGCTGATTTCCCGGTGTCTTTTCTCTTTCCTCCCCGGGATCTCACGGCTGCCCCTGGTTTCCATCCTCCTCCCCAGCGCTGCGCTCTGACCATCCGAAGGGACCGCTGTATGGGTTTGCAGCAGCAAAACACGCAGGCGATCCGAGCGGGACCAAGAGCATTCCTGGTCGAAAGTCCACTCCAGCGGCGTCGCCCGAGCGTCGCAAGGCAGGTCCGCCTTTGAAGTGCACGAGACCCGTTTGCTTTAGAACTCTCACAGCCCGACCTGCACACATCACCGCTAACGGCCTGCTGTGTGTCTGCAGAAGTTGGCTCCGAATGCGTGGCTACCCGGGTAGCTTAAAAGTCCCCATCCGCCCCCTCCGAACTCCCTCTCCGGTCTCTCTGCCTGCTCCAAGCACGGACTTCAAACGCTCTCCGGCTACCTCCCTTCGCGCAGGAAGTAGCCTATCGGCACGAGCAGCTGCCTCGACCAATGGGTTGTCTGAGCGGGAACCCGGGCCCCGCCTCCCGAGAGCCAGTAACCACTGGCTGCCCGGGGACGGGACTTCCGCTTGGAGGCGAAGAGGCGGAGCGGGCAGGTTTTGTGTTTGAGGGAGTGGGAAAGAGGCGAGCGAGGCAGGCGGGCGGGCGCGGGCGTTAGACGTCCGTGGCCTGGTGGCCTCTCCGGCGGCGGCGCGGCAGGTCGTGTCCGCCTGACGAGCTCCGTGGAGGGCCGGCGAGCCAGGCACAGCGACACGTACCGGGCTGCCGGCTCCGGGGGCTGTGGCCTGGGCAGCCGGAGGGACGCAGTCCCCGGCCGGGTGCCCGCGGGTCGGGGGGCG